CAAATGGCTCTAGACCAATTTAGTATTGGATTTCATAACATTGGTAGGTAAACATTTATTTTTGCAGAAGTGAGTTTTTGTTTTCTTCTCTGAGTCTGTAGGTGAGAAAAATCGTATGTAAAATGTTTTTCTTAGCTGTCATTATAATGTCCAGGAATGGTTTCATCTGTTAAGGATGATAAAGGATCTTAGGTGATGGGTGTGACATTTCTTACCGCTGTCAGGTTGAGAATTTGTTTCCTTCCATGGTGAGTCTGGAGGCCTTGTTTTTATTCAGTTAACTCGTGGGCTTTCTCACTTTAAAGCAACTTTGAAATCTCAACACCCCAATGCCCTCAGGCTGTCACAACTCTGTTCCACCAGGACCAGCCTTTCTGGAAATCTCTCCTGAGCTGCCCTACTCATCCACTTCTCCCTAAGCTAACCTTGTCCCCGAAGGGCCCAGCTGCGTCCAGAAGGGAATTCTTTTTTCTCACTGTTCCCATCAGGAAGCTACTGTTTGTCTAGATCAGCGGCCTGTTCTCAGCTCTCATTTTCTCTAACTCATTTGATTTCCCTGACATTGGATGTTGAATAACTCTTTGAAAACAGGGATTGTGTCATTTTCAACCACGTAGGCGCTCTATAAATATTTATGAAATGAATGCACAGATTCTTCTTTTGGAAGCTCTACGCTTGATAGGATTCTGCCCCTGTGATGCTGTTTCTAGCCCGTCTTGTCCTCTAGCTCTGCTTCCTGCCTCCTGGATGCACACGTTTCCCAAAGTGGGGTTCTAAGTCTTCTTCTGGAACTCTCACTCCCTCCTGTGCCATCGTCTCTCCCCACCATGTCCCTGACACTCTGTGCCCTGTTTTCTCACTCTGGACCATTATCCTGGTTCAGCACTCAGCCCCCAAAGGTCTGCTAGCCGCTCAACCTGTCCCCAGGTGAACCCATCAACTTCCGCTTCTCTTCTTTTCCTCTTTTCTGATTAATGGCATTTTCCCGGTCTCCCAGACACTAGTGACTCTGTCGCCTCAGCAGATCCAGTTCCACGCCTGTGTTTTGCTGCGTGCTTGTATATTCTGGAGTAGTGAGAGCACACGTCCAAACCTGCTGATTAACTCAGATACGACCTTCTCCTTGGACACCCGCAGCCAAAATCATTTCTCCCTTTGTGACCTTCCCCCCCGACCCTCCATCACACTTTCCCTCTACGACCATTTTTCTTTGGCCCTTAGCTCCTCAATATTGGAATTTTTTGAACATGTCTCATCTCCTTGCCCAGATTGTAAGCATCTCAAGGGAGTGCTTGTGTCTGAATTGATTTTAAATCCAAGCCGGGGCACAACTCAATACATTATTGGGTCCAGAATCACATACAGGGATTGGGAAATGAAGCCTTCTCAGTGTCTCTTGTTCTCGAGCCGTGCTAGTCAGATGCTGGCATCTCCCTTCGTGTTCCCATGAAAGATCCCAGGGCGTCACTTCAATTGTGTCTGGAACAATGTGTCACTGAATCTTGAAAGATGGAGGCTGGTGACTACTGCTATAAAATGATGGTGCCTGGAGTTTAAAATGATGTTGACTAGCTAGAAGGATATGCTCTTGTTCATGGGGTATTATAAAATGGATCCATGGGAATAATATTAATAGACCAATTAGTATCAGAAATAAGATTTTGAATGCATGTCAAGGGCTTTATATGTAAATCTTATTTATTCTTAGCAACCATAGGCCAGTACCAAATGATGAGGCATTATCCTTTTATCCCTTTAAACTTTTCAAAGCACTTTAATATTCATATCCCACTAGCCCGGAGATGTTGAAGGGCAGTGGTAGCAAACCTCACTCTTCTTTGCCAAACTTGTAAATGCCTGTTTATCTCTCTCCTCTGAAGGCTCAGTCACAACCGCTGAACAAATGTGGAGAGCACTTGATACTTAGACATGGTGACCGGCATGGCTGGGACCTGACATCCAGTTGCAGGGCAGAGCACCTCAGGGTCCCAGGTCGCCTGGAGGTGAAGGTCAACCATGCCTGCAGGTCCCTGTCGTGGCACCTGGCACTCGGCGTCCAGAATGTTCTCCCTGAACTCACAGAGACTCTTGAGATTCCTGCCATCCCAGGCCAACCCTAGAGGGTGAGCAGGATTCCCACCGTATTATTCTGGGGTCCATTGCCTTCCATGTGTGTGTCCCTCATCGCCTGCCCCCCCACCCAGCACTCGAGGGGAGTAAATGAAAAACCAAGCAAGCATGGCCCGTCCAGCCTTCTTGCTAGCATTCTTGTTCCAACAAATTTAATGAACAGACGGGCAGATGCAGCCAACCTTCAGTCAGGAGATGGTCTCTAAAAGCTGAAAATTCTTTGGGTCACCCCAGTCCCATGTACCTGGCTGAGTGAAGAATTCGACGGTCCCCACAGCCTGGCTTCTGCACCAGGCCCCTCACCGGCTCTGGGATGATGGCAAAGATGATAGCAAACCGGGCAAAGAGACAAACAATAGATAACTTACTGAGGGTGTAATGCTACCTGCCAAACATTCAAACTCAGTGGTTCTCAAAGTGTGGTTCCCCATACCCAGAGCATGGGTGCCCCAGCCTAGACCTTCTGAAAATGAACTCTGTGGGCGAGGGACCCAGCAATCCATTTCAGCCCCTCCAATTGACGCTGTTGGTGGCCTCCAGTTTGAGAACCAGAGTTCTGGTTTACAGGCCTATTTCTCCATCTTGGACATGGCTTCCTCAGGCTCCCTGGGCTGCTTTGCCCTAAACTTATATTGAGGGAAAGAGGGAAGTTAATTACTAATATCAGCTACTCCGTGTTGAGCACTTACACTGTGCCAGGGATAATTCTGAGCATTCTTGAATTTATGAACATCTGTAATCCTCACCACAACCCTGTGGTGTCCATACTATTGCCGTCAGCCCTCAGTATCCCTGGATGTGAAGCCTGCAGGTACAGATGACCAACTGTAAGGGACTTGAACATCTGTGGATTTGGTATCCCTGGGGGTCCTGGAACCTGCAAATACTGAGGGATGACTGTATTACCATCCCCCTTCGGTAGATGAGGGGACTGAGGCACACATTGACTGGCTAAATTGCCCAGGGTCACTCAGGTAGTAAAAGGTAGCACAGAGTTCTGAACCCAAGGCAGTCTGAGTCCAGTATGAACACCCGACCGCCTTGTGCCTCCTTAGAGTTTCTGCCCCTTCTCCACCCAGGTTCTATTTTTTTCTCCTTTCCAAACTAATTCCTCCCTGTATTAGTTTGCTAGGGCTGCTATAGCAAAGTACCACAGACTGGGTGACTTAAACAACAACATTTATTTTCTCACTTTTCTGGAGGCTGGAAGTCCAAGATCAGGGTGTTGGCAGGGTTGGTTTTTCCTGAGGCCTCTGTTCTTGCTTTGCAGTCGGCCACCATCTCCCTGTGTCCTTGTATGGTCCTTCCTCTGTGTGCGTGCTCCCGGGGGCTGTGCGTGGGTTCACATCTCTTCTTCTTAAGGACACTGCTCAGATTGGATTAAGACCTACCCTAAGGACCTCATTTTAACTTAATCATCTCTTTAAAGGCCCTATATCCAAATATGGTCACATTCTGAGTTACTGGGTATTAGGGCTTTAACAGATGAATTTGGGGGGGTTACACAATTCAGCCCATAACACTCCTGTTCCCCCACCATCCCTGCCTTTAGCTGACAGGAACTACGTCATGTCTCTGTACCTGTGGGGGCTCTTTCACTCCCATCCATCTAAACCCCCCACTTTCTGTACTTGTTCCTGGGTCACATGGCTGCATCGTTCCCAGGGACAACAGCCATGACCTAGAGAGGGCAGCCTCGACATGTGCTGCAAGTATATGGCTTTAATTTGCCAAACATTGCTGTGTATAACTAGGAAGTGAGGGGTCTGCACGATGTCTGTAAATACAGCCTTGTGGGTTTTTCTAGAGCAGGGTCAGAGGTGACGATGTCTCCAAAAGTATCATCTGTGGACCACTCACATCTGAGTCAGCTGGGCTGCTTCTGGACCCCCGAGGCTCTCCGAGGGCGCATCCTTGGAGTGTGCATATCTCAGAATCCTCTCTCTGTCAACCCTTCCCTGTCCATCCTTCGACACCTGCTGATTTCCCCCCATTTTTACTGAGATATAATTGACATACAGCACTGCCTAAGTTTAGGGGGTGCAGCATAATGATTGACTGACATGTACTGTGAAGTGATTACCACAATCGGTTTGGTTAATATCCTCATCTCATATAGATATAAAAAAATGAAAAATAATGTTTTTTTCCTTGTGATGAGACAGTGATTCTCAAGTACACAAAGGCATCCCTTTACGTCTGTGGAATTAGACACATGTGACCCATGTTTCAGCTCTTCTGTTCCTAGGTTGTGACCTTGGGACAGGTTAGTCTCCCTAAGACTGTTCTTAATTTGCAGTGTGGAATTCATCTAGTTAATTAATGGGATTAATCTAGCAACCACCTAGGGTGGCCGTAAGGATTAAATTAGATCATATAGATCACGCACTTTGTACCACCTGCTGGTGGCAGGAGGGAGTGTTCAAGCCCTGGTGGCCTTCTTTCACCATCAAGGTAGCGTTTCTACTGCTGAGCAAGGATTTCTTTCACATCCTGTGACCAAAGCACAAACCCTGTTAATGTTGCATCTAGGGTGTGACTCTGGGTCTGGACCTCCCAGAACACATTCTGTGAGAACCAGCATATGTGCAGATGGAAAAACCCATATAAAGTTGATAAACAAGACCCAGGGGACAGTGGGGGCACAGGAATGCTGGCCAAGGAAGGAGGGAGGGTCAGAAAGAAACCCCGAAGGACATCAGTCAGAGATGTCTCCTGAATCACTGGGACCAAGTTGACTTTTCTACTAAAATGACTAACATGCAAAATTTTCTGCAATCTCTGGACTAACTGAAGATCTGTCGGCCTCCCAGTGGGTTGGATGCACATTTGACACGTTTACGGACCTTCCTGTGTTTTGTCATTTGTAGAGGAGCTGAAGGCCCCTTTGGAGGAGTATGTCCACAAACGCTACCCCGGGCTGGTGAAGGTGGTGAGAAATCGAAAAAGAGAGGGCCTGATCCGAGCTCGCATCGAGGGTTGGAAGGTGGCCACCGGCCAGGTCACCGGCTTCTTTGATGCCCACGTGGAGTTCACCGCTGGCTGGTAGGTCACAAGCTGAAGGCTGGAAGCGCTCGGGATTTGCAGCATGGTCAGCGGGGCTGGAGTCTGGGAGGTGGGCCACTCTGGCCGTTTCCTCTGGGGCGCTGGCAGGAATGGAGAATCTTTTGCTGCTTTGCTAGTTTCCATTTCCGGGGAGGATGGTTGACTGTTGAAAACAAGAGATTCAGTTATAATTTTACCTACTCAGGCAAAGCTTCCCAGAATTTATGGGATCGTGACTTCCCTGGCAGTCCAGTGGTTAAGACTCCGCGCTTCCAATGCAAGGGGTGAGGGCATGATCCCTGGTTGGGGAACTAGGATCCCGCATGTCGTGTGGCCAAAAAAGAAAAGAAAAAAAAATTTATGGGATCATCTTTAACAGCGTTTGGAGGAAGGGAAGGGTTTCTCTCTGCCGATGTGGCCCCTCGTGTTTCTCCAGGTGAAAAGAATATGAGAGAAATCGATGGGCATACAGGGAGTAGATTTTGGATGTAAGAGAGTGAAGCGTCAAAAATGCCCAAATCAGGGCTTCCCTGGTGGCACAGTGGTTGAGAGTCCGCCTGCCGATGCAGGGGACACGGGTTCGTGCCCCGGTCCGGGAAGATCCCACATGCCGTGGAGCGGCTGGGCCCGTGAGCCACGGCCACTGAGCCTGCGCGTCCAGAGCCTGTGCTCCGCAACGGAAGAGGCCACAACAGTGAGAGGCCCGCGTACCGCAAAAAAAAAAAAAAATGCCCAAATCAGTCAATGATCATGTTAAAATTAGGTTTGAGCTTTACAGTTATATGATTATTTCTAACTAACCAATGATAAATCAAGTCAGAGGTTAAACCCCTAGGCCAGGATTGCTTAATTAGTAAGAAGCAGAGTCTTTAATTTCATTAATAATGTTTATTTACACTCAATGATACCATCTTGAATAAGTTCACGGTACCATATTTGAAGAGCCAATATCCCATCACTAATTACGCCTTAAAATGTCTATTCTTCATTTGAAACAAACTTTAGAATCCTTTTAATGGCCAGAGAAAAGGATGGTCATGCACATGACCACACAAAGGTTTGGAACGTGGGGTCACCGTTCCTGCTGGTCCCTTCACTTGCACACGGGCATCTGTTGCCATCTCAGACCCCAGTTTTCTTCCTTTGCTTTTTCTGCCACCATCAGACCCTGATACACACAGCTGTAGGTGTGCAGCCCTGACCTCCTCGGAGCCTCACCACTGTTTATCTCTCATAATCATTCTCAAAGTGTGGTCCCCAGACCAGCAGCGTCAGCATCACCTGGGAACTTGTTAGAAATGCAGATTCTTGGGCTCCACCCAGACCTATGACATCAGAAGCTCTGGGGATGGGGCCCAGTAAGCTGCTTTAACCAGCCCCCCCACCAGGGGACTCCGCTGCTCACTCAGGTTTGGGAACCCTTGAGCTAGAAGCCTTCTGAACAGAAGCCCTTGAATGTTCCGTCGGAGCCTCGGCCTTGCCCTGTCTCACCTTTTCCTCCGTATCATTCCCTCCTCATTTCTTTCCTGTCAAAACTGGTGGTACCACCCGTGTCCCCATCACTTGACTCTTCTCTCCCCATCGTGTTACTCCTCCAAGCCTCCTCCAGCTTTAGCTGGTTTTTCCTGTTTCTCACGTCTACCTTTTCCTCTCCGTTTTGACCTCCACGTTCCCGGCTCAGACCTTCAATATCTTTCACTTAAACTAACTGACAAATATTTGCTGGGTGATGAGACCATGTCCCAAAGACCGCTCTAGGCTGTGATTTAGGTGACTGCCTGGTCGGGTTTGCCTAGTGCTGAGGGATTTCCCAAAATGCAAGACTTTCAGTAGTAAAATCAGAACGGTCTTGGGCAAAGAGGACGGTTGGTCACTCAGCTGGGGTTCAGAATCTGGTGAGATTTGGTATCCGCCCTCCAGGAGCCTATAGTCTAATTTTGACTGATATCTGTGATCCAGTCTTAGCCCTTCAGACTCATTTTCCAGACTTCCAACAGAGGGGTGTATGTCCTTATGGCAGAGAGACAGTGTGTCACAACTCTCACTAGGTCACACTGCAGTACCGATCTCCGTCCTGTCCACGTGGCAGATCCGCTGCGGGTTGTCTGTCTGTGGCTCTGCTCCATACGACCTCTGCGTCCCAGGACCCACGGAGCACCCCTGCCTAGGATGTACCACTTCTGTAGCTCAGGGAAAAGGATAACAGTTTCTGCTCAGATGTGACATGGTCACGCCTTCTGTTGGCCAAAGTAGGTCACATGTCCAAGCTAAACGTTAATTGGGGTTGAGGGAGAGCGTGCCCCTCAGCAGGGAAACACCGCAGGCCTCGGGGTCATCAGCGGGTTGTCCCGAGGCAGGGGAGCAAACCGCTGGGAACAGCTGTACGCTCTGTCACAGACTGGGAGACTGAGCTCCTCAGCTTCAGAAGCATGATTTGAACCAAGGTCTTCTGCCCGACACTCAGTAACTTCCCCCACACAGTGACGGCCGAGCTGAATGCTTCTACCTGCAGGGCACCAGACCAGCCTAGGGGAAGGATGGCCCATCCAAGGAGGCTGTGGAGCTTAGGGGTTGGGCCTAAAGCCAGACCATCCGGGTTAGAAACCTGGTTCTGCCTCCAGCTGGCTGTGTGGGCTGGGGCATAACCTCCGTGGGCCTCAGTTTCCTCATGTGTAAAATGGTGATCATAGTATTTGCCTCATGTGATTGTTGCGAGATTTATATTGGTCAGCTCATACAGAATGTTGGGAATGGTGCCTGGCAAGTAGTAAGTGCTTGATAAACATCTGCTGTCATGAGCTTATAAGGAAGAAAAACGTGTTCAAAGATCAGCAAAGACAGCGTGTTATCAGGGTGACTTGAATATGATGGAGAAGATGCTCTAAGAGTTGAGAGGATGGAGAGAGTCTTCTACTGGGGGAAATAAAGGCAGGCTTCCTGGAAGAGGTGGCACTTGATTAGAGAAGCTTGTGTGGGTGGCTAGATTTCCTGCCTGGGCACAAGGGCATTCCTGGAGGAGAACAACAAGAGTGAGGACTTGGAGGGGGCGGAGCTCTGAAGCACGTCTAGAAACCAAGGAAAGTCAGTCCCATTTGGTTATCAGTCTCTAAGGTGTGTGCAAAAGTATCGGAGGCAGTAAATGGCCCAGGGTATATTTTATTGCTCGTTTTAAATAGAAACACAAGATGTGCCAACAGGTAATTCAGTAGATGCAAATGAAAAGAGATGGAATGGAGGCCGAGCGTTCTCATTATTCTTCGAAATAATGCAGAGGAATGGGATTTTCACTTGATTCCTTTCCAAAGCCTGCGCCCTGTTCTAAGCAGGGAGATTAATGCCCTGGTTTATGAGAGCCATCTTTTCGTTCTCGAATACGGGAAATGATCCCTTCCTACATCTACGTCAGAGACGCACTCTGGCAGGGGTGCCTGACCATCTGCTTTCTCCTAAGCTGGCAGGGCTACACCTTAAACCCGGAGCCAGGTCCCTGCCTGTCGCCTGCTGTAGCCCTGAGCGGGCGGGCTAGCTGAGAGGCAGGATCCTGCCCGCCCTTGCATTCAGTTAGTTCCTGCCTGCCATCCCTAGCCCATCCAATTAGATCCCTTTTAAGAAATCAATTAAATAATCAATTAAAACAACTGAAATAGGCACACGCACAAAGAAGCTAGTGAAAGGCTTATTGAAACCAGGCCATCAAGGGCAGAAGTGACCTATTTGGGGAAAAGGCAATTCAGCTCCAGCAGAAAACAAAAAACCAGAGGCATCGGCCAGTGCCTGAGGGGAAACTGAAAACACTGTACAAAACTGTGGGGAGATGCAAACCTTATCAGGAGCCTTGATAGGACGGCTCACACTTTTTTATTCTTCCTCGTATCTGTCTAAGCTTTGGCTTAGACACTGTTGGTATAAAAGACAGGCCATACTTTCCGGGGCAGAAGCCCTCGTGTTCTGAGTCCCTGCTTCAGGCCTCTCATGCCAACGCAGGCAGCACTGTGGGAACCCCACAGGGGTGAGGGCGTGAGCTGCACGTCACAGGGCTCCTTTAAAGCCACCTGATCCAGGGCTTCCCTGGTGGCGCGGTGGTTGAGAGTCCGCCTGCCGATGCAGGGGACGTGGGATCGTGCCCCGGTCCGGGAGGATCCCACGTGCCGCGGAGCGGCTGGGCCCGTGAGCCGTGGCCGCTGAGCCTGCGCGTCTGGAGCCTGTGCTCCGCAACGGGAGAGGCCACAGCGGTGAGAGGCCCGCGTACCACAAAAAAAAAAAAAAAAAAGCCCCCTGATCCAGCTGGAGCAGCCACTTGGGAGCCCAGTTTCCCTCCGAGTTCCAGCCTGCCCAGCCTTTAGCTACGACGCTTCTATTCATTGTCTGTGGTCTTGGGGTCTGGGCCGGTGGAGGTGTGGGTGAACCTCAGGTGAAAGATTTTATTTCTGCTTCTCTGTGTTTCAGGGCCGAGCCAGTTCTCTCGCGGATACAGGAGAACCGGAAGCGGGTGATCCTCCCGTCCATCGACAACATCAAACAGGACACCTTCGAGGTGCAGCGGTATGAGAACTCGGCCCACGGGTACAGCTGGGAGCTGTGGTGCATGTACATCAGCCCCCCGAAAGACTGGTGGGACGCCGGAGACCCTTCCCTTCCCATCAGGTCTGTGCCAAGCATGCGCTCCAGTGGCTTTTTTGTCCCCAGATCCCAAGGGAGAGAGGACCCCACCCACCCGGGGAGAGGGGGGAGGGAGGGAGGCTGGAAGGGACCACTTGAGGATGGAGCTGCAGAGTGGAAATAGCTGCTTTAGGAATTTGGGGTGTCTTTCCACTGAAGTTTTCTTGCTGAGAGAGGACGCTGCATTTTGCTTCTTTCGTTAAAAATTCTCCAGTGCAGCTTATCAAACAGCAGTCCTGAAGGATGGAAATTGATAGGACGGCTCACACTTTTTTTTATTCTTCCTCGTATCTGTTGAACTGTGTTCAGGTGCTTTTAAGTGTTGACGTTTGAAAGGTATGAATTCCTGGGACTTTTTCATACTTGCACGCTTCACAGTCGCCATGACGCAGGAGCACGTAGAGAAGGACAGTATTTCTATGGTAGCTGGGGTAGCCCAGGGCCTTCGGGCAGCTCTGTAGGATTTTTGCCCCAGGCCCCACCCAGCATCCCTGGAGGCAAGGAGATAGATCCCTCGTGTTGTACCAGTTGGGAAGCTCAAATACAAAGGATGGGGAATGAAGTAGGTGGATTCTGATGTCGTATTCGTTTCCTGTGGCCTCTGTGACAAATGACCACCAATTCAGGGGCTTAAAGCACAGACATTTACTCTCTTACTTTCTAAAGGTACTGCAGTGATCTGAAGTGAGCCTTAGAGAGCTACACGCGGGGTGTCTACAGGGCTGGGTCCTTCTGGAGGCTGGAGGGGAGAATCCATTTCCTTGCCTGTTCCAGCTCCGGGAGGCTGTTCTCATTCCTCCGCTCACGGCTACATCCCCTCCCTTTCTCCCCCTGCTTCCTTCATCACGTGGCTGCCTTCTTTCCTCGACGTTCCTGCCTCCCTCCCATAAGGGCCTTTGTGATGGCATTTGGGGTCCACATGAATAACCCACGATAGTCTCCCTCTTCTCAAGATCCTTTACTTCATCATATCTGTGAAGTCCTTTTTTCCAGATAAGGTAACATTTGCCGTTTCCAGAGGTTAGGATGTGGGTTTTGGGGGGGTGGGGGGTGGATGGGGAATATTGTTCAGCCGACAACAAACGCTTTGACTTTCAGCGAAGATGATACCCGAGTTACAGTTCAATACTTTCTGTGAGTCCTACGTGAGGGTCAAAACTGGCTTAGTATCTTCGTGGTTCCACGTTAGAAGAGGTGGAAAGGGCCGTCTTTGCCCTCATTTTAGGACAGTGTTTGTCGGTATAAAGGGGGCAGTTGTGGAACAGGAGTGAGGACTTTTTGCAAGTACCCATAAAGTTCTTTCTCAGTTTATAAATTTTTAATCAACCAGAGGAGGATTTTGAGATGGACAGACCCCCCCCCCCCCCCGTTGCATATTCTCTTATTTTCTGGCGCAAATTGAAAGCTGACAGATTGCATTAGGGTAGAGCCACTCACGGGCAAATTTATGCAACAAAGAAGGTAATCTTGGGCTAATAACTTACTCAGCTGGAGATGTCTCGTGGCTCAGTTCCCAGCCCAGCCTAGATGCTCAGTGTCTTCATGTACTGCTGCAGGGCCGTGCTCTCGGATTTCTGCAAATAATAATGTCGACTCATCACCAAGGAGTTATCTGAGAACCAAAGCGTAACCTGCAGAGATATTTAAAATGTAATGGTTGAGATGACACCCATGAGGATGGCTACTGTATAAAAACAAGCAAAATAACAGGTGTTGGCAAGAATGTGGAGAAATTGGAATCCTTGAGCATTGCTGGTGGGAATATAAAGTGGTACAGCTGCTATGGAAAACAGTATGACAGTTCCTAAAAAATTAAAAATAGAATTATCATATGGTCCAGCGATGCTGCCTATGGGTATATACCCCAAAGAGTTGAAAGCAGGGTCTCAAAGAAATGTTTGTTTGTACACCCGTATTCATAGCAGCATTATTCACAATAGCCAAAAGGTGGAGGTAACCCAAATGTCCATCAACAGATGAATGGAGAAACAAAATGTGACATGTACATACAATGAAATATTATTCAGCCTTAAGGAAAAGGAAGAAAATTTGACTCACGCTACAACATGGATGAGCCTTGGGGACATTACACTAAGTGAAATAAGGCAGTCACCAAAGACAGATACCAAATGATTCCACTCATATGAAGTGGCTAGAATAGCCGAATTCACAGAGACAGGGAGTAGAATGGTGGTTTCCAGGGGCTGGGGAGAAGGGAGGAATGGGGAATTATTATTTAATGGTGTAGAGGTTCAGTTGTGCAAGATGAAAAGACTTCTGGAGTTTGGTTGCACAGTCCTGCAGATGTACTTAACGCTACTGAAGTGTACACGTAAAAATGGCTAAGACAGTGCATTTTATGTTACGTGTATTGTACCATGATTAACACAAAATTAATGGGGTGTGCTTAAAGACCCCGGGGCCTTCAGATCTTGAAGCGATGGCGTGACGGTGAGTTTCGTATTTTTGTCCAAGCACTGCTTCATCCCTGACACACAGGGAGGCTGACCTCCAGCCATGACGGGTAAGGGAGTGAAAGTGTAACAGTGGTGTTAGGGACAGAGGAAAAGGAATGGATACAGTGCAGTGCTTTGGGACGCCCGGAACACAGAGCTATCCCCGAGTATGTGAGGCACTAGGCGAAAACTGAGTGTGTACTTTAGGTAACGTTAACAGAGGATTAATACGCGTTTTAAAAAGACTGAAGACAATGGAGTCGTGATCATGAGTCATTAATATCTCTGATGTACACAACAGAATCAGATGATCCCTTTTTAATGTATCATAACTTATGCAATGCTTAATTTGTTAATAGTTGATGGAGATATTTAATGGTAGGAAGGACTTTCTATGGCCCTTCTGATGTTATTAAGCAGATACAATACCCTTTTTTAATTAACCATTTTATTTTGTTTATTTATTTTTTATAAATTTATTTATTTATTTTTGGCTGCGTTGGGTCTTCACTGCTGCACGTGGGCTTTCTCTAGTTGTGGTGAGTGGGGCTACTCTTCGTTGCGGTGTGCGGGCTTCTCATTGCGGTGACTTCTCTTGTTGCGGAGCACGGGCTCTAGGCACGCGGGCTTCAGTAGTTGTGGCACGTGGGCTCAGTAGTTGTGGCTCATGGGCTCTAGAGCACAGGCTCAGTAGTTGTGGCACACGGGCTTAGTTACTCTGCAGCACGTGGGATCTTCCCAGACCAGGGCTTGAACCCGTGTCCCCTGCATTGGCAGGCGGATTCTTAACCTCTGTGCCACCGGGGAAGTCCCAACAATACTCTTTCTTAAATGTCAGGATGTGATGGTTCCCCCTCCTCCTTGTGATCTCAGTATTTTAAAAGTAATGATTGTTCTGGTAAAGGGTAGGATGAAGAGAACTCTTTCACCATCCAGATGACATTAGATTGGATGAATCTTTAACTACTGAGTCTTCCCAGTAGGCCATACGATATAGGAGATGTTGCCTTAAGGGAATGTATATCCTTTCTGTTTTACTTCTTTTTCTCTTTCTTCCTTTGTAACGCTTTTTTCTTCCTGTTTGGTAAACAGCTATTTCCCAAGGTTTTTCCTCTGCTCTTCTCTGTCTACACCAGAGGTTCAGGCATTGAGAGTAGACAGGTGCCGTTAAAGAGGGGAGAGCCAAGTGTGAGGGGTGGCAGTGGGGACTGAAGAACACATGCCCCGCCCAAGGGGCCAGCTGCTGCCAGCCCCCAGTGATGGTGACGGGAGCACAGAGGGCCGGCGTTGTCAAGTCCTCAGACTTTTAAGAAAAGACATGAATTCAGATCATTTTGTGAAATCTCCTGACTTCTAAATACCGGCAATAAATCCCTCTTCTTCAAAACTATGAGGGCCAAACATGTTTCTAGAGTGGATTTGACCAGCCGGACCCCCAGAATTTGGTCTGTGCTCTACACTTGCTCCATGAAGACCTCGGTCATTCCCAAGGACAGCGTTAGTCCGTGGTTCTCATGCTGGGAGCTGTGGCACCTGCGGTCTGTGGCATTATGGTGGGGCTGAGGGGTTTGGGGAAAGTGTCACTCAAAGCCGTGGAAGAAACATGGCTGGACTTCCTGGAGCTTGAGTTAAGCCATCAGAGATCCCCTGCCGCCTCTGTTGTGTGTCACAGTCCTCTGCTGCCGAGACTCTTAAGTCAAAGACTCTGGGAAGTGCTGACCCCGCTCTCACCTCTGTGCAGAGAAGGCTCTCAAATCTATGTCTTAAGCCCCGATTTTTCTCCAAAGTGACATCATCTCTAATGTCGCGTCAACAACCTATCATTAGACCAGTGGAGTTTAAACTTTTCTGAGTCGAGGACCTCTTCGATAATCTAATGAAAGCCATAATCACCTCACTCCTGACCATGTATGAGTGAACAGAACTTCACATGTAATTTCATGCATTTGTGAGATGCCTGGAAGCCAACCTGCTTATTATCCACAGGGCTTATATTAGGAACCACTGCAAGGGAATTCCCTGACAGTCCAGTGGTTAGGACCCTGCACTCTCACTGCTGAGGGCCCAGTGTGAATCCTTGGTCGGGGAACTGAGATCCCATGAGCCGTGTGGCCAAACCACTGCTAGACATTCGACCTGGTTCTCCCGTGGAAGAGCCTTTCTTTACCGTTCTGTATCAGCTGCTAGTCTATATGCTTTATGAAGCCAGGCCTGTGGTTTTTTCTACTGTAACCCCAGTGACTAATGAGTACTTAGCACTTAGTAGGGATGCGGAAAACATTTAGTGAACAAACGAATGGATGAGTGACATCCGAGGCTCAGAAGAGAAGTCAGGGTTCGTGCACGATTCGGAAGAGGATGAGATTGCCTCCCCCGTTATGCATTCCTATGCCTCCCTCCCCGCAGCCCCTGACAGCTCCCAGTCTTTCTGTCTCTATGGAATTGCCTATTCTGGACAATTCCTATAAGTGGAATCATACAGTATGTGGCTTTGGGGGTCATCCATGTTGCGGCAGGTGTCAGTACTTC